TTTTTATGATTTTATTCTCTTTTTTATGATTTTATTCTCTTTTTATGATTTTATTCTCTTTTTTATGATTTTATTCTCTTCTAAAACACTATTCTGTTTTTTTTTAATATTTATTGCCTTGTCCATGTTATTGGACAGTACTTTGGTCAACACCTGTTGTTTTAAAACTGCTATATAAATAAGTTTGAACTTTGAACTATTGTTTTTTAAATGATCGGTTGTTTGCCCTAATTTCCCATCTCTGTAAGCTAGCTAGGTGTCACTTCATATTAACTCTACCATAAGAGAGTCTATCTGTTTAGTATTTGTTAAACTTTTTCTCTGACATTAAACAAGGAACAACTATTAAACTCTTTTAGTGGTATATTATAGTTATGCACAAGTGTTACTGTATGTTAGACTATTTATTTTTACTTGTGCAATGATAAATGTTCAGTATTGAGTAAGGGTACTTAGTTACATTTGACCACTGCATACAGTCACTTCAGAAGCTTACCATTAACGAGAAAACTTGCCTCCCACAGCCACCTGTGGAAGCAGAAGGAATAAAGGAAACAAAATAAATGAGGGAAGACAAATCATCTACTGGTATTCAGGCAAATTATCATTTAAGTATTCACAGTGCTTTCTTTTTTCCATATTTTGTTCCAGATGGATCAAATTCATTTTTCACCTCAAAGTTCTTCATACAGTGCTCCATAATGAAGGTGAAGGTGAAAAAAAAAATGCTTGATACATTCTCTGTATTAAAAATAAAAAAATAACATGTACATAAGGATTTACAGCCTTTGCTCAACACTTTATTGAAGCACCTTTGGCAGCAGTTACAGCTTCAAGTCTTTTTCAATATGATCTTAGAGGTTTGGGTCATAGTCCTGGTGGAAAATGAACCTTCGCCCCGGTCCAGAGTGCTTTTGTGCAGCTTATCATCAAGTACATCTCTGTAAATTGTTGCATTCATCTTTTCTCTGACCCTGACTAGTCTCCCAGTTCCTGCTGCTGAAAAACATCCAAAAGGATGATGCTGCCACCACCATGCTTCACTATAGGAATGGCACTGGCCCGGCCATGAGCACTGTCTGGTTTCCTCCAGACATTACTCTTGGCATTCAGGCCAAAGAGTTCGATCTTTGTTTCATCAGAACAGAGAATTTTGTTTGTTGTGGTCTGAAAGTCCTTCAGGTAAGCATTTGGCAAACTCCAGGTGGGCTGTCATATTCCTTTTGCTGAGGATTGGCTTCCATCTTGCCACTCATACAGGCCTGATTGCTGGAGTGCTGTAGAAATAGTTGTCCTTCTGGAAGGTTCTCCTGTCTTTATCAAAGTCACCATCGAGTTCTTGGTCAAGTCGCTGACTCGGGCCATTCTACCCTAATTTCTCAGATTGGCCGGGCAGCCAACTCTACCAAGAGTCCAAAGTTCTTCATTTACAGGTGATGGAGGCCACACAGAGCACAGTGGCCTCCATCACAGTGGCCAGAGAAATTTCTGCACTTTTCCCCAGATCTGTGCTCAATGCCTTAGACTTCATGGATTGGTTTGTGCACTGTCTAGTATGGGACCTTATATAGACAAGTGTGTGCCTTTCCAAATCATGTCCAATCAACTGAATCTACCACAGGTGAACTCCAGTTAAGTTGTAGAAAGATGTGACAGATGCTCAGGATGCATCTGAGCTCAGTTTTGAGTATTTTTATTTATTTATTATATTTTGTAATACATTTGCAAGAATTTCAAGCAATCTTTTTTCACTTCGTCATTATGGTGTATCGTGTGTAGAACTTTGAGGTGAAACACAAATAAGGCTATAACATGACAAAATGTGGAACGAGTGAATTACTGGAGCAGCCGTGTATCTTATGTTTTTACTTAAGATTCCAAATAAGTAACATCAGCTTGGAGTCACATTTTCACAAATGACCACTTTCACTCATGTATTAGGTAGACTACATCAAGAATAACAACTATTACCTCATCATTGTAAATCCTTTAAAACACTAACATTGCCCCTTCAAAGAACAGTGTCTGTGTCTTTACCTTTCCAGGCGTAGAGCCCTTCTTTGCTTCCCACATGCCACGCTTGTTGCCCACATCAGCTGGTTTCACATCCTGTCACAAACAAAATGCACAAAAAGATTGTTAGCCCTGGGAAGTGCCAGAAGAAATATTTAGACCAGCTACTTAAGCAAAAAGTATAGAAAAGAAGAAGCTTTTATCCAAAGAAATTTCTCAGCGGAAAGCACAGAGGTACTATGAGGAAATTGTCTCAAATGTTCTCCTCAACCTACTTTAAATTAAATCAGATAACTGAAAGTGTGACCATTTTTATGGTGAGGAATGAGAAAAAGTAGCAATAACTTGGACTGTCTGTAAAACATTGGAGAGCTTTCCTTATCGGTCCTCTAACAGATTTGAAGGGCTTTATAGAACTGCTTTCATCCTGAGAAGACAGTGATTCCTTAGTAAAGGGTTTAAGTGACATGTTTAAGCAAAGGAGAACTAAAAACTAACATCACATGAAGTATGAAGTCATCAATGTCCAGGGAGTAAATATACCAAATGATTTCCCTTCAATGGATCCAAATACAGTTCCCAAACATATTTATTAGGCTTCTGGTTATTACTGGTGATATTGGTGAAGTATATGCAAAACCTTTACCAGTTTGACGAGCAGACAAAAAGCAGCAGGAAAAGCTTGAGTGAGGATAGCTGAAGGAAAGAGCAGAATTAAAGAGGACAGAAAGGCTGAAAAATACCACTAGCACAGTAAAGACACAGTAAAGATTTAATGCTAATATCCACACATGCACCAGACTGCAGTACAGCTTCAACCCATCAGGGGGAAGTGTTACTGCAAGAGTAACAGCAAGGTTACAGCACTTCTCTGGCCAAGATATTTGATACCAAAGTTATCTTGCTCATAAATTTTGCTTAAGAACAATGTCACACGTCATCTACCAACCTTACTCCCCATGAATGTGTCTCCAGACAGTTTTTACTAGCAGCTGGTGTCTGACTTTAAGAAGAGGACACAGTGCTCACTGACTACCCTAGTACACATTTATTTATGCTATATGACCATAAAGAGAACAAATTAAATCATTAAGTTTCCATCTACTTGTTGTGACATGTCATAATATGTGATAGCTATGAATAGATATGACCCTTTCCTCCTTTTCCAAAGGACACTCAAAGTATGGACTCATCAGTAGGACTAAATCATGCATTTCAGGGAGAGTTAAATGCAAACTGAGATTTCTGTTTGAAAATACTGCAGTTTTCTGGAATATAGGATTTAAATACAAAATAAATGATGTTAAAAGGAAAGGTGTTTCACGGCTCTTCTGTTGTCTGCAATAGATGAATACTTTTTTTTGCTTCTGTACAAAGATTTCTCATGGGTTCCTGGTCAAATAAATTAATTGAAGCTTTTCCCATTATGTGTACAAGAACTCAGAGAAAGCCATGACAGCATATGCTGTTCAGTAAACTCTCCATGTGGTGCTGCTAGACTTAAGACAGCAGCACCGTCCAGCCCTGGAGTGCAGACCCAAAGGCTGCAGCCAACAAAGGACAGGCATGTTGATGTGCAAATGAGCACATCAGCATGTGCAGAATATCAAGGGATTACTCTGCTGAAGACTGGCGTCTGATTTACAATAGTGTGTGGATGTGTGATCACGGCAAGGATTTATCAGGTCTTACTGTGGGCTTTGCTGCTGCTGCTGGCTTTGCAGCTGCTGATGGCGCTGGTGCCGGTGCTGCTGCTGCAGGTGCTGGCGCTACTGTCTTCTCGCCTTCTGCTGGCTTTCCCGTCCAACTGTTGACACGTCCGGTCACACTTCCTTTGATACCAGCCACGTCCTGCTGAAGAAACACTTTAAATATGCAATCACACACTAAACCACACTAAGCCTCTTTCTGTCTCATTCTCCGTTACCTTGTTTGCAGGTGAGGGACTTTCAGAGGTGCTGCCCACGTTGCCTTTCTCCCACATACTTTTGATGCTGCGTGTTCCCCCCGTAGGAATATCTGCCACTGGAGACTTGGGAGATTTTACATCTTTGTTTCCCTGTAAAAAGATAATAATAATAATAATGGACTGCATTTATATAGCGCTTTTCTAGGCACCCAAAGATGTATTTAGTTACATTTACATGGGCAAACACAGGAGCAAGCTTAGGGACACAAATAACAACATAGATTTAAATTTACCCAAGAACATTAATGTACTTAAGCACAATTTTAACATAACTGTGCTTCATTTCAATTTATCAATTTTATTCTACTATTTACTGAGATAAAAAGCCTCATAATGATGATCGGCACTTTTCAGAGCTTTGACAATAGGTCTATGTTGCAATACAAATATAACTAACTGTAACTTTTAATCATTTAGTACCAAGTGAAGAAAATACAGCTTTTAAAAAAAAAAAAGTAATCTACACATATTTAATTTGAAATATACACCCTTCATATGTGTATATTTCAAATTCGCAGGCTAACATTGAACATTTTATCTGCTGCATTTACTTAGATAAGATTTTAAATCTTATCTAAATTTAAATCTTGATGGCTCCTCAGTCTTAACAAATATTTACTGTCCAGCTTTTTTTCCCATTACCATTTTAGTCAGACTCACATTAGTTAAAAATAATTATTCTTTCCATCTACAACCTATATTTGGAAGTATTGCTCTGTTCTGGGACCTACCCACCCATCTATGTGCATACATGGAAGTGTGGGTAAGAAAGGCCTGGGACAGGGAGACCACCAGCAAAGATCTCCCAAAGGGTATGGAGCAAAGGAGGAAACAATTACAACAGACAAACGCTAATCAAGTCAGACACCAGGATGAGCTGGGCTGAAGGTGGGTTGTAAAGCACAAGTAAGCAGGATAAGCAGCTTAAATAGTGGCTGCAATGAGATTTGCCAATAGAACTATTTCCAGGTAATCATTTTGATTTGAAATAGTAAATAAACAGGCATCGCTAATTAAATATGTGTAGATTCTATTGTATTAGGTGGAGAATCTTAATTGGTGTGATTGATAATACCTGTGTTTACCTTCTATTTCATATTATGAAATAGGTCTACTGGATGTGCTGAATGTGAGTCATTATGAACCGTGGGTTGAGCTTGACTTTGTCATCTGACTGAACTAACACTACACTTCACCTCTCAGCCTGGTTTGATTTTAATAGAGATGAGTCGATGACACTTAACCATACATATGATGTGAGACTTGCTCCATTTAAACCATTTACATCAGAAAAATGTGTTTCTCGTGTAGCTGATGCATCATACTCTGACTTCAAATGGACCATCTTAAAGTTGTTGCATTGGTTGCAACTTAAAGAATATATGTTCAAATAAAACATGACTATTACTGCTACCTTTATTAAGGATGGTGATTAATATTTAACATAGAGATCAGCTCTCACCTGGATGGCAGAAGTGTATTGTTCCATTCTGTTGCCAATCTTGGAGACAATAGGAGTGTGTGACACTCTGGCTGTGGTGCTGCACAGATGAACCAGGCACTGGGCATTAGTAAAAGCCACCAACCACTTATTTATCGTTTTCTCTTGCACTGGAAAAAAAATCTTTTTTGTGGCTTACCTTTTCTGGGCTGATTTGCTGAGGAATTCTGCCTTCTCCCCAATCTGCACAAAACAATGTGGATTTTTACACCAAGTAGCGTTTCAAAGCCACAAATCACATTCTGCAACTCAATTCAATTCTATTTATATAGCGCCAAATCAGAAGAACAGTCAGGAAGGGGCAGCAATCTGCCATGACCGGTCAGTGCTGTGAGGTGGGGGGACACGACAAAAGACACACTCTACAAAAAAAGCTATGGTAGCGTTGCACCACAAGGTGTCATTATTTTTTTTAATCAATAGCATACAGCTTATATCAGTGGAGTTAAAACCAGAACTTGATAAGGGAATGCCAAATGAACAAAAACAGTAGTCAGGAAAAAATGTTTGACCATAAAGGGAGAACAACAATATCTGTGCTCCACTTCGCACAAAGCATGGAAACAGGGGGAAACAGGTTGGCTGGCTCTGTCATCAAGTAACAAAATGAACCAGGCAGCACTCCAAATCATCTCACAGTATGTGAGAAAACCTAGATTTGAAAATGAAACAGTGTGTTATTTGCTTAGTACATGTCGTTGAGTCTCTGGTTGCCTTCCAACCTCATGGTGACAAAAAAAAAAAAAATCAAGGAATTTCTTTCAATTACATAAAAGTTTATAAAAACCAGATACATTATTTATACAAGACAGCTATATTTTACAGCCTGTACTATTACAGTGTCACTATTTTCAAGAGTTTACTCACACAAGTTATAATAAAAGCATTTTTCTCTATTCAGCTGGGTTTTCAGATATCTGGCTATGACTTCAAAGTTTGTTATTATTATAGTGCTCAAAGTATAATAAAGCATTTATTTAAATTACTCTAAAAAGATACACAGACACTTTTTGTTTCTACTGTGGATAAGTGGCCATATGTTTAGCTGGCTTTGCAGGATCTGGGCAAATACAACCGAGACTGTGTGTGTAAACTCAACTCAGTGAACCTTGTGTGACAACTAAGCCGTACGAACCAATTCTCGGACACTCACCTTAGAGGAGCCTTTGGGACTGATAGTAAAGGTTGGTTTTGTAGACCCCTCCTCCATCTGTTTCTTCTTCTCTGCAGCCTCCGCCCTCCTTTTCTCTATTTCCTCCTTCATCCTCTTTCTCTCCTCCTGTTACAAAAGCCCCATTTTGCCGTCACATCTCTGTAGCCACACATATGATAAATAGCACATATCCAAACCCATGCACTGTCTTAAATTGGTATATTTAACCCCTGAATGTCAAATAACACATCCTCGCCTGCTCCTTGGCTTTCTTTTCCTCTAGCGCCTGTTTCCTTTGCCTCTCCTCTTCCTCGAGGATCTTCTTCCTCTCCTCTCTCTTCCTCTTCAGCTCCTCCAGCTCTGCCTCGGCACCCTGCTGCTTCTGCTTCATCTTCTCAAACTCCTCACTTTCCGCATTGTTTCGTCTGCGCTTCAGCTCTTGCAGTTTTCGCTCAGCCTCCTGTCGCTCCAGGTCTTCTGCTTTAGTGGAGGGCGGATTGTCCCTGCTCGCAAACAGGCACAGTTTATTTAATTCACATGTTAAAACATGCAGATTAGACTTAACAGTGATCAAAATCATTGACTGTCTATAAGCAGTGGTCCCATTACATTGTGGAGGCAGTTTGCCAAGATGTACCTTGATGTCTTTTCTGTTTTCTTTAATTTACTTTCAATGACAGCTCCATTCTGTTTGGTTGGTTCAATCTTTCAAAAGAGACGGGAAAAGAAAAGTTTTTCTTCCATAAAAGAAAAATAAACACATATTGAATATTGACAGCTAGTATTGTTTTACCTTCTCCTTAAACCCAAATCTCTTCGGCTTCTCCTCCTTCACACGAAGATGTGAAAATAAGAGAGAAAGAAAAGATCAGCAAGCATCCAGTGTTACACACACACACACACACACACACACACACACACACACACACACACACACACACACACACACACACACACACAGGACAAAGGCCATCAAACAATAGTGGAGTACTGGTAGTGAATGCAAAGCAGATGTAAGCTAAAGAGCTATGACACTGCAGCATCCTTGATATCACCACCTCCAGCAAAACACTGCGACTGCACTGTGATCTGTGACCAAACCACAAAACCACATCACACAGCAAAGCAAGAACAAACCCACATAAATAAAGAGTGTTTTTTTACTTTGCAAATAGTTACATTAACACAAAAGTCCCACAAATCCCATCAATACCTCCTCTTTCTTCTTCTTCTCTTCCATCTCTCTCTTTTTGCGCTTATCCTCTTCCTCTTTTTTCTTCTTCTCTTCAGCCTCCTTTTTCCTTTTTTCCTCCTCTACTTTCTTCTTCTCTTCCACTTCCCTTTTTCGTCTCTCCTCCTCTTCTTTCTTCCTTTGTTTCTCCTCTTCCTCCTTTTTCTTCTTCTCTTCCATTTCCTTCTTTTGTTTTTCCTCTTCTGCTTTCTTTTTCTTTTCTTCCATTTCCCTTTTCAGTTTTTCCTCTTCCTCTTTCTTCTTCTTTTCCTCCAGCTCCTTTTTTTGCCTTTCCTCTTCCTCTTTTCTCAGTCTCTCTTCCACCTCGGTGTTCTGCTTCTCTTCCTCTTCTTTCTTTTGTCTCTCTTCCAGCTCTCTTTTCTGTCTTTCCTCCTCTTCTGTTTTCATTTGTTCCTCCATCTCTTGTTTTTGTTTTTCCTCTTCCTCTTGTTTAAGCCTCCCCTCAGTTTCCTTCTGTTGTTTTTCCTCTTCTTCCTTCTTTCTCCTTTCCTCCTCCTCCCTTAGTGTCTTTTCTTCCTCCTCCTTCTGGAGTTTTTCCTCCATTTCCCTTTTTTGTCTTTCTTCCTCTTCTATCCTCCGCTTTTCTTCCATTTCCTTTTGATGCTTTTCTTCTTCTTCTTGCCTCTTCTTTTCTTCTTCTTCTTCATTGTCAACACCAGGCGCAGGCTCATCTTCAGCATCTTTATTTTCTAAACCTGGCTCCTCAGTGTCCACCTCTGTTGCTGCAGCCTTCTCCTCAGTCTCTTCCTACAAAAACAAATTAAATTTACTTCCCGTCAGTTTTATGGAGTTGGATTAATGAGTCTAAAAGAGGTAAAAAGACATAAAACTCTACCTCATTTTCTGTTGTTTGTGTTCTTGATTCTTCAACAGATTCCTGACAATCACAACAAAAATAAATCAATTAATCAATAAAAAAAATCACAATATAAAAACTTTTTCCCCCAGTAAATACATTATAATTTATAAAACAAACAAAAAGGCTGAAACACATCTTACCTTCTCGTCCTCCTTTGTGTCTTCTTCTTCTTTCCTCCAAGAGTTAGTATCAGTTCTTGTCACCTCCTCCTGGGCAGATTCCTCCTCCTTCTTCTCCTCCTCCTCCTCCTCTGTATTTTGTTGCCTGCTGATGCTGATGAAAGTCTGCTCTTCCAATGTGACGTCTGTGCCATTGGTGGTGCCAATTGTGGGATCGAGCTCCTTCTGTCTCTCCATGGCCTCCTTCATCCTCTTTTGCCTGCGTTCCTCCCTTCTGGCGAGGCGCTCCAGCAAAGCTTGGTCATCATCTGCCCCTTCGTTTACGGCCGTGGAGGACTCCGTCTCTGTCACGCTGAAAAATTAAAGAACAAAAACAAAACACCAAAGATTAAATTCAATCAAAGTCGAACCTCAAAATCTTGGCTGCTATCAAATGTTTTGGTCTGATCAAGTGTGATGAACCCACAAGTCTTTCTGAGTGGAATTTTCTCCTGTGGCTAACCAGCGAAAACATCAATCCAAGAACCTCACAACCGCTGGAGCTTTCCAAATATTAAGGCTGGAGGGCTTTATCAATACCAAACACTTAGATAGGCTGTAGAGCTGCTGCGTTTTTCTTTTTCTCTCTCTCAGTGACGCTTACGCAGGAACAAAAAAGCATTTGAATAAAATTAAATGAAAAAACACTTTTTTGTTTTTTGTGACACAGTTAATTTGTGCAATAGGCCAAGGTAATAAAATGTGCTGCTTTTATACACAACAATTCAACTTGTGTGTAAATTTATTTTTCATACGTCAAAAAAAAGTTTTTTTCATTAAGAAAACCCCTAATGGGAAGTTACTTATTTAACCTCATTCTAGATGATGGCTACACATCTTACCTGTTAGTGTCGATCACCTCAGTCGTACCAGATTCCTCTGAGTCTTTCATCTTCTTTCTCTCCTCCCTTGCGCGTCTCCTTCGCTCCCGAGCCTCTTCCTCATCATCATCATTGGTGTTACCTGTCCTGAAAGAGCACATGTGCAGAATTACAGTCTTTTGTTTAAAATGCATTTTAGTTTTTTGGGTTAAACCATGAAAACACATCAATCCATGTGAAAGCTACTTTGGCTTAATGGCAGCTTTTGTGCTAAAATATCACTGTCTAGTGTTAATGGCTAAAACACCCAATGAATCCAAGGTCCACTACTGATGATCTATCTTTAAAAATCATACTCTAGATCAGATTTCTAATCCCTAAACCTAACCAAGGAAGTTAAAAGAAGCAGAAAATAAAATTGGTATAATTTGTGATAAAAGGCCCGAAACACCCTGTGAAGTTAAGCCACAACTGATGATGTGTCCCGCTGGTAAAGCTTTCAGGCTGCCATGCTTCATAGTAGCCATCCCTCAAGACTTTCTTCATTTGAAGCAATGCATTATCAGAGATTGTAACATCTAGTCTGTAAATGCCTTGGTTTGGAGTTTGTGATATAGTTTCGGCTCATGTTTTGTTTTTTGTTTTTTGCCTATCACTTTGCTTGTGTATGCCTACTAGTTTAACTTCCTGTCTCTGTCTTTTTACTACACGTTTGCCTACGTGAGAATGCTGGATGGTTCCCAATGGTACTTTCCTCTTCTAGTATTTGTACTAGTATTAAAAGCTGACTGCAAATTCACTTTGACGCTGTATAGATGAACAGATGAAAACAAATTATGGACCTAACTGTAAATGCTTTGAGCTCCATGTACCTCGTGGTTGTGCCTACTTTACTTGTGACACACTATGACATGTTATGTAAGGCTTTAGTGTAGAGTGGAGTTTCCCATACACATTTTATTTTATGTTTTTAAGAAACCTAAAGTGACAAAACAAGTGTTTTTCCTGATAAAAATTTAAAAAACTTCACATAAATCAAAAACACAATTTCCTCCAAAAGAAATATGTGATATGTGACATTTTTATGTTGACCACATGAGAAGCTAAAGCCATACCATCTAAAGCTGATTTTAAAAGACACGATGGAGATTTGAAATACCACAACTGAGAGGAAAATAGTCTATAAGAAATAATTATAAACACACGTGCTACACATGCAAATGTCACATCCAAGAAGATGTGTGTACTTCAAAAGACTGGCTCACTTGGGACTTAATACTACAACATGTAATATATGAAAAAGGGAGAAAAAGCAACAGAATAGGGATGCAGAACAATGCTGTTCCTCTCCATCAACCCCATATCTCCTGTCAGTGACTTTCATCCAGCTTTGAATGCTTCCACAGTTAATCTTTCAGCATGCCTGGGAGTATCTTTTTAAGTATTACCAGGCTTTATGAGACAGAGAGGGAGCTTGAAATGGTCCATTGATAGCACACGGGTATTATTTCCCTCTGCTCTTCCTGAATCTGCGAGGCAATCTTTTACAGATGTTGCGAGAGGTGGAAGGCAACCGCAAGAATCCTTTCTGTCTTTAAAACAGCAACAAAGACCCAAATGAGGCGGAAAGCCAATAAATCCACAGGCAAAGATTTCTCCAAGTGGCACGGATCACCTAGAGAAATCAGTGAGGAAGCAATCCAATTAGAGAGAACCCCAGCCAAAGCTTGAAGCTTCCTGACTGAGTGCTGTCAAAATGTCACAGTTACATTTCCAGACAACCAGCCCGAGGGACACGAAGCATAATAAATGAGGGGAAATATGATGGGAGCTACTTGGCTAACAGAGGTGCTGAGTGAAATGAAGGAAAGAGGCTAAAAAGCTCAGCTCAAGCAGTGTAAGTCTGAAGCCCTCGGAGCAGGCTATTATGCACTGGAATAAAAATGACAGTCAAAACATTCCAGTGTCGGCAGCGTTTGGAGAGGAACTGGAAGGCATAAAAGGAAGGGCAGGCTGGTTTGGCATGGCTGGCTGTGAGAAAATTGCAAGGAATGCTCTTCGTTGCTTGGGCACTGATGGCACATCTGATATGACAGCACCCGACTGGAAAAAGCACAACATGCTGGGCTATGTTTGGACATCTTGATTATATGATCACATAAAGGATTAAAGTGATCATAATCTTTTCAAATCCATTCAGAGAGTAAAATGCAGTGACCGCAGTGTTTGATCATCAGTTTAATTAGCTCTGCGATTAAACACTTCTGACATCTTTAAGTGTCAGCATCTCTCACTTTGTTTCTACTCCACCTGAGGTCACAGCAAGTACAAACCTTCTACTTTACACCACTGGGGTGGATATCAGCACCATCTTTTAAACATTATTGTTTAATTTACTGAGCACATGAAAGAGACTGAATGAAACAACAGAGAATGAAAGGTAAACCCAAACAGCAGCACAGATGACGGTCCCCTTAATGAGCCCAGGATAGTGTGGAGATCATTGGGCCATTATCGGCTCTTCCTTCTGCTCCGTGTGGAGACAAAAAACTCCATCATGCATCCTTCCATACATCAAACAACATATAGTATGCATATATAGAAAGGCCTGCTCACTGAGCATGTGTCCATGAGACGAACCAATCATCGGAGGGCACAGAAGAACGATCAGAAGAGGAACATCTTGTTTAATGTTTTCAGAATGGGTCACTGCACCCAAGGGTTTAAAAGTGTCACCACAGATGTGACTGGGAAACAGCTGCTGTTTAAAAACTAAAAAAAAAAAGTGTGTGTGTGTGTGTGTGTGTGTGTGTGTGTGTGTGTGTGTGTGTGTGTGTGTGTGTGTGTGTGTTTCGGAGTGGGTGAGTAGGCCCTGCTAATCAAATATAAAATCTATCCGGTTTGTTTTGTGAGCCGACACAAATACTTTGCATGCTAACAATGCTAATGAGGCTTTAATTTAAGATGATGTGGTGTAAGATGTTCTGATATTCACAGTGCATTCACCCTTTTTTTGTGAGTTTCACTTGTAATTTTAAGTCTGCATGCTCAGGACTGTGTCTTTTGTGTGTGTGTGCATGTGTTGTTTTGCGCAGGTTTTACAGGATTACTCACTTTTCAGCTTCAAGGCGCATCTGCTCTCTCCTTTGCCTCCTCAGCTCCATGCGGCGGTCAAAGTCGTCATCCATGGTGGCCAAAAGGTTCTCCTTGCTTTCTCACTAAAAGACACAAATATAATGTCAGCATGAGTATCCTAAGTTAAATGAAATGGACATTTACTTTTTAATGCACATGTAAAAAAAAAAAGTTTAAACTCAATTAACAGCAGCTTGTAGGGTCCAGATTAACAGACACACATTGCAATATGACAAAGGGCCCACCCAAACTTTTTTTAACATATGAAAAAATCAATAAAAACTTCTGTCTGCTGGTTTACAATACCTTAGCAATAGCGAAAGTTTAGTCCACGGACAACAGAGACTCCTCTCCTGTCATATATCAGCTCCCACAGTCTGGTTTATATCTCAGTCCTTCTGCAGCGCAAAAAGAATTCCTGCTTGTCTTTGCAGTGACTACAACTACCAGAAAAGGCAAAGCCTGCCTCTCTGCTCTCCTCTTTTTCTTTCTCAGCCTCCCTCCTCCTCAGGCAGACTCCTGCTCGCTCCCTCTGACTTTCACTTTTCCCTCCCTGATCTCTGAATTTGGACTTAAACTTTGTCTTATTCTGCTTACTGTACCTTGTCTGCTTTATCTAGCTTATGTCAGATGTGTCGGTTTTAATTTATAAAGGTTTCCACAGAATTATTTCGTGCTTCTAAAACGCTATTCACTGCACAACACTTACTGGTCACAGGACAGCTTTGCAGTGCGCAGTGGTTTATATTTCAGCAATTAGCCTGGCATGATGTTGGTTTTCAGTTGCCAAAGGAAAAAAAAAATGCCATTAGCCTTTTAATTACTTTTTTCCAACTAATAATTACTATAATGAATAATATTTGTAATTACTGGCTCTGTACCAGACCCCATACATTTGTTATTAAATAGAGGAAGAAGAGTGCAATTTTTTCTCTCTCATTAAATTATTCAAACATGTTTGACTCCTCGTGTTTCCCTATGCTGTTATTGTAGTTTCATTGAAAACAGATAAAGAGATCCAGTGGGAAACGCAATCTACAAACAGGTTTCTTTGAACTTCAGAGGCGGGGCATTCCTGTGCATTTAAAAGGTAATTAGAGTTTCCAGCATCACAGATAAAATCATAGTTCTTGTAAAAGGTTGCCAAAGCTTATAATCTACAATCAACTGTTCAGCTAGATCAATCAACTGAAAACCAAAGCCCCCATTTTAGTAATAATAAAGCTGTAATCTGGCCTGCAGGGTTTCCCAAAGCTCACTAACGTCATACAGCCTGTGCCCAGTAACTAATTGCTAGTCTTTCTGGCTTAGAGAAAAGAACTGAGGGTTCATTTAAATGCACAGACTTAGATAAAATGGCTTCTTAGGCTGACACAAAATCCTTCATTTATAGCACTTTAACAGCTTGCCACCTTATATTAACATCTGGAACACTAACTCCAAACAGCTGCCAATAAATCAAAATTCACCGTTTTTTCCTCCTCATGTAATTCTAACAAACTCATTCAGCATAATTTAAATTCATTACTTGATAATGTACACATTGTATAGGCTTTCAGCATTAACAAAAACTACTGTATAAACCGTGCACAGTTTTTGTGTCCACAGTGTCCTCCCACTAAAGACATGGATGCTAAGGTAACTGATGGTTCTTAGCTGAAAATATGAGTGTGAGGGGGAACTTTTGTGTGTGTGAGTGTCTGGCAGTCCTGTAGGAACCTGTCTAGTGAAATCCTGCTTCTACTCCACTGTCATCACATCCCTGGTTGGTTAAAATAGCTGAAGGACAGCAAATTATTGAAAAGTTAGGGAATAAAACCAAAGTATATATTTATAAATGGGCTGCTGCTGATCCCACATTTGTTATTGGAATAAGACTGCTCAAATCCAGTGTTCAGCATGCAATAAAATTATAGTTTTCCAAATGTTTGCTCTTTCTTTGGATGAACATGAAGTTGTGCAACTAGCCAATTGCTCCTAGGTGCCCTCCTACTGCTAGTAGTGCAAGCAGCAACACTTAGTCGGTCGCTGGGCCGTGCTGATTTAGAAAACATCATACCAATTTTTTTGTGAGACTGCAGCTGAAAGTCATGCACCCTGTACTGAAAATAGAAAATAAAATCAGTTTAGTCTTGAGCCAAAAAGACTGCAACTATCTTTAGGAAGCTCTAACCCATGACAAATAGGCATTCCTGTCTTTCACAATAGAAACAGAACAAGAGCCAGCACTGGGAGATTACATCACACTTTTTCACTTAAGGTCAAACAACTCTATTTTCTAGCCTTAGAAACAATCATACAACACATTATAGGGCAGTTCAAAGAAAGCTTAACCCAGCTAGCTTTACTTTCATTCTTGGTCATATATGGTTATACTAAAGAGGGCCACTTCACTCTCATCGCTGTATTTTTGTTTCAAGATTTTCAGATCTGCAGAGGAGCCCACCAACAGTAAGCAGTGCATCATAATGGGACATAAGCATGTCACAGTTTAGTTTGTACTATGACCGGTACCATACACAGTCATTTAGACTTACAAACAAAATGAGCCAAAAGCGTCCCTTTCCCTGAAACACCCAAATCTGTTGAGTTTCCCAGGAAAACGATGGCACTCTTTTAGACTTTACCCTTGTGGGAAACTGAACAGAGATTTATTGGCACCGAAAAACTGACACCCCCGTTTTGATGCTGGACTGAACCACCACTTACAACCACTGGCACTTTATATAATTACTGTATAATTTATCCATATCTTACTGATCTTGATTGCACTACTGTAAATGCTGTATAGACAATCATACTGTACAATACAATAATTATAGTTTTACAACTGTTTATTAATACTTGCAGTTGTATATCTATAATCTGCTATAGCTTTTCATATTTATAACCATACGTATAACCTGTTCATAGCCTGTATATAGCTTGTACATTCACTTCAGTTATAGCCTGTACATACTTATTCATAACATACCTTCATACCGTGTACATTGTATCATATCTCTAATAGATCTATATTCTGTAATATAGCTATATTATTGCTAATGTACTTTCAGGATGGATGCAAACTGCATTTCATTGCCATGTACTTGTGACGTGTGCAATGACAATAAAGTTGAATTCTATTCTATTCTATTCTATTCTATTCTATTCTATTCTATTCTATTCTATTCTATGCTTTTCTAATAGATTGCTTAATATATACATATAATCGACAGTGCTCTATAGAGACCAGAATTAAACAAGGACTTTCTCTAAAATCTGGAAGAACAAGCTAAAATTCAGCATTGGAGAAAAAAAGCTAAAATGAACATTATGTTCTCTTAATAACACATGCAAGTGCAGTTATTAGGAAATGAACTTCAAACAGCATAAAGCACGTTTTTGTTGGGGACTATTTTCTGTCAGCACCAATGCACAATGATTATATTGTATACTACACATTAACAATCAAGCAAAAGGCCTTGTATTTGTTTGCAACTACAGTACATTGTAGTGTTTTGCAAACCATGTGCTATACAAAGAAATAAATGATGGATATTTGGTCAGATCAATGAGTCATTCGGTCAGATGCAGCATGAAAGGGAGAAGGTGGGTTGCAAAGCAGACTGGAGATTCTCAGAAACTGTGGCCTGTCTAAAGAAGTGCCCTTTATTAGGATTCACCTATTGGATGCACATCAGGGTATGAGTTGGGCTATCAGCTGATGTACGCTGACAATGACCAAAGCTTATTTGCCAGGATTGTGAATGAGGATGACTTTCTTTTCTGTGTGAACTAACTGTTAGACTCACTTGTCACTTGTTCACTAACTTAATTCTTCTCAGGGTCACAAGTGACAACCTGTTCATCACTCTCTCATAGCCTCATGGGATCAGAAGAGGTCTGAGCATCATAAAAGTTGGTCTGAATTATGGATTCTATGGAGCATCACGCAAGGACCGACTGAGCTGAACAACTCAGAGATGTCTGAATGGTGAAGCAGGAATGTTTGGTTGGGCTAACGCAAACATTGCCTCACTGGTCCGCTGATGCCAGTGAGGATCTCTATTTATAAAGTTTCAAATCTCTTGAGAGTTTTTAGACTTTCTAATGTTTAAACTTTCTAATGTGATTGCCTTTCTTCCCAGCTTTTGTCTACACTGAGAGACATGCACTTAACAGCACAGACATTATTCTCCGAGTTCCCCATAACAGTGCTATCTGCAAATGGACAGATGATTTGTATAGTTCAGATTACCTCTAGGAATAACTTTTTCTATATTTTGTTATATATATTTTGGTTGAAGGCCCAAAAATATGTGGAAGCACTGATCACACTGGCACTTTGATTTAGATATATTTCTCCCGCTACTTGAGCACACTGCTTTCATGCAGCAAAAGAATCACAAAAAACACACTGTTCATGAATATTTAGCCTTATATGTCTGGCTTGCATTAAATCAGATGTAAAAAAAATCAAACTCTGACATTTAAAGCTAAACAAAACTGTGACTTCTGAGGGAATGCGTTTACTCCAATGAAACCAAAGACAGGCAGAATATGCAGGTACTTAGCCTAACTTAGCATAAAGACTGGAGGTAAAGGCTAAAGCAAGCCTGGTTACACCTAAACAAAAAAATCCCTTCTCATCACCTGTACACGTCACTAACTATATATTTATATGTCACTATTCATCTGTTCAGTGCGCATGTCATATCTGTCTACATTGCTATTATTTATCCCAAAATGTCAACGGCGTCAAACCCTGTATATTTGTCTATAAATTAAACAGAAATGTCTATTAAACATTTACAGGTGTTGGTAGCTAACAGATTTTTTTACAACTTACAACAGCTCCTACCTTTCCCAGCCTTCATCTCAAGCTAAGCTAATCATAATTTGGGTTTTTCCTTTTTCACAAAAAAGTCCCCCCAAATCATTATTAGGTACTCTATTGCTTTAAATGATGACAGCACAATCTTCTGCTACCCTGCAGCACTATGTCATGCTGCCACCTTACTAGTTCTAATATATAAAACCCAAACCAATAGTGGGAATTCAACCTGATAGCTGGAGAGCTTTCTGAAGCAGCAATGAATGGCAAAACTTCACCTTTAAAGGAAGCCAAACAACCAGCTGCAGATCATGAAGAAGCACATTTTGCAAACATGGCGTAAAGTCTACATCACAATAATATTCAGTCAGTGCTAATGTACTAAGTACATTAAAAGAAAGCCTGCAGGTCTCTGGCATATTCAGATAGATGTGACTGAACACATGTACCTATAAAATTTTAAGTAATAAAAACAGTCCTGGAAAAACACAATAGTAACCCATGCCAGTGTCTCTTATCCAAAGCGGTTAATTCACAGTAAGCCCACGTTTGACTTCTTCGTTTCTGAAAGCCAACTTGGATTTAGCCCGAGAATCCCTCAAGTAGTCCATCGAAGCTCGTAATAAGTCTTATAAGCCTTTCACTAAAAGCCCCATAATTACATCAGCTACATGCTTCTCCTTTGGCTCTCCAGTTTTGTGTAAACACCATGTGCTGTTTGTATATTGTCGGCCTTTGTGATTAC